TTTCTTTCTTTCTTTCTTTCTTTCTTTCTTTCTTTCTTTCTTTCTTTCTTTCTCTACCTGTATGTTTTCCAGGAATGCTTGGGTATCTCTAAGTGCATATCTAAAATAAGCATTAATCAGACAAGCTGTAAAACTAAGGGCAAAATTATATTCCACCATTCATTGCAAATATTTCAGTTGTGTCAAGATGCATGATAGGCAAGCCTTGACAAGTTTAGGCAACCCAAGTTTCTTTTGAAATACATTGCTTAGTTGCTATATCTACTCTGTAATTGATAGATCTATCAGATGTATTATCTTTGTGCAATTTGTTGAATAGATCATAACTACTTTGACCTCATTTATCAAGCCATTTTCTTTGTTAACACAGGATCCATAGATAACAGTTGCAAAGCTCTTTCCTATGTTTCCTATCTAGGTATTACAATGCAAACAGTCGTCAGGAACAAATGTAGATGGGAATCTGTATATGGGGACTGTTTAGCTTTCCCTGTGATTTCCCCAAGCCATGAAAAGAACACACACCTGCTCTGTTTATTGACTGGAACAGACAGAAGTCTCCAGACTAACTTGGTTTCTGTAGTTCACGAAGACCCTAGGGAATGGTGAGGGATAGCAGACTGTATGGCTATATCAGTTGGCAAATCTTGTAATAAGCAAATCCTGCTTTCATATTACATAATTACACTAGGCTCTCTGAGCTGTAGGTGTGGAGTCTGTTCCAATCTCCAAAGGCTCAGAGGCTGGGGGACCCAGAAATTTAGTGAAGTCCAGACCTGCAACACAATGCACTGTGTTAAAGTTTCTAGTTATACTATAGACCCATGTGGGCTTGGAAATACAACTGCAGACCCTAGTAGACTTGTGCTACTGGCAACTTCATAGAATCCATCATCAGAAAGAGTTGCTTGCCCTAAGAAGTCTGCTGATTCCCCACTTTGAACTACTAATAAACTACTAATGGTTGACTCTTGTGTCCAAGGCCCATCTCTGAACACTGAACCTCTGCTATTTAACATCAGCAGTCATCGGGCTAAACTTTATTTAGCCTTGCCATCACATTTTCTAATAGTCCTGGAAATGGACAGGCTTCAAACTCATAATCCACATATTAATTAGGACTAGGATGCTAATCCTCGCAGCCTGCAGGGCTTTAAACCACCCACATTGCATCCTATAGCAGGAGTGTCCTCCAACTTTGCCTGGCAAATACATGGGCTATGCTTTATTTATTATTTAATTCAATTTAGGCACTGCCCAATTCCAGTTGCTCTGAGCAGTTCACAAACAATAATGTTGATGTGTTTGGAAATGGGGGAGGCAATGACTCTTGACCCCATCAGTTTTGTGATTGTACTTTCAGTCTTATTCCTGGAGCTCAGATTCTCACAACACTTCACATTTGTGAAAGACAACCAGGTACCTCATTTATTAATGAGAACTTGCAGAAAAACTTTATCTGCCCATTTTCTTCTCCTGTCAGTGCTCCTGCCTTTCATGTAGTTCATTGTTACCAACTCCTGGACTCTGTACCTTTTAGTAAGCACAATCCTCTTCCCCTTCTTTCTCAGATCATGGAATGCTACAAAATGTACACATCATATCTCAGAGGAGCTTTCAAACTGATTGACATGAAAGAGGGGCACAAACATCTAATTCCCTTTGATACCCATTACTGAAAGTTTAAATGTTTGGTAATATCATTTAGCTTGGATAGTTCTTCCTCAGTCTTCATGAGATTTATGAACATATTTCTCAAGACATACTGGACACCTTTTGGATCATTTTTTGGGTAATTTGCTTATTTACTCTGAGGATTCCACTCTCCACATGAGACAAGTATGGACTTCACAATCACACGCTCTAAGCTATGTTGGATAAATGTGCCTTTGCTTTGATCTGCCTGTTTAGGCTACTATATTTCCTCAAAGAGATTTCAGATGGATGCAGTTAAAGATGGACTTATTTTGGGAATCCTCCACCCTGTACAATACATATGCTATTCAGGCCTTTATTGGACATTGTTGTTTTTTTATCTTAAATTTTTGCTAATTTTGCTGCCGTACATACACTGCTCACATGTCTTGCCAAGAAAGGCGGGCTTCTGAGATCCAACAAGCCTTTGTTTTATTCAAATGAACATTCACTTTTCAATATATCCTCCATTATTCGGATCCCATATGTCTCTCTGTGGCTTTGTCTGGTACTTCTGATTTTGCCTTGAGTGCTGTACTCTGATCAAAAGTTTAATGATAGCTTGCTCTCCTGTGCATTTTTCTTCCCAAATCTTTTTCTGCCAAGCAAACTTATGTTTCTTTTAATAAGAAACCTTTGGCTATCAAGGATGCTTTTCAACACTGGAACTCCAATTGCTGTCATCTCTGAAGGCACAACACATTCTATTGAGGTTCAAATTGACCATAGGAATTTGAAATACTTACAAACTTCTCATAGACCTATATAGCATCCAATCAGGTAAGCACAATTATTTTCCCATTCTATCTTTGTATCTCTTATATTGCTAGCTTGCAAACAAGTAGTCTGATCCTCTGTCACACAAGTTATTTCTTACCCTGTAGACCTCTTCCCATATCCATTCTGCTCCTGAAAAACCAAGCCTCCACCCCACCCTACCCCTTCTTGGATCAAGAAGGAAGACTCCTTCCCTAACTGATCTCATGCATACTGTGCCATAGCAGGACCCATACATGCAGGCTCAAATGGATGGCTTTTAGGGTACTCTGTCATCTGGCTCCTTCCATGTTTTCTTCAAAGTGGGAAGAAATCTTGCTGCTCTGGACATTTCAGTCTATTTAAAACAACATATCTTCTCTATGATTCTGTGGCTTTTTCTGGCTCCTTAGTAAAGTGTATGTGAAAGTCAGTGTTTCTTCTTGCTACACTTGTCACCTTGCCAAATCTCTTACCAGAAACTGTCTGGACTGTTACATCCCTTCCTCTCTTTCAGGGATCTTGAGACACAATTTCATTGGATTTTATTACAGACTGACTTCATGTCAAGGACCTGGATGCCATTCTAGTGGTATTTTATTTTTCCTCCAAAATGGCCCATTTCATTTCCTGTTATGGTCTCCCCTCTGCTCGGCAAAGAGATTGTCTGCTCATTCGACAGATTTTCCAGAACCACATATTGTGAAATCATTTAATTTCTGATAGAGGCCAACAATTCATGGCATGATTTTGTTTCATCTGTTGGATTATACAATTCCAATTATCTTTTGCCTATCATCTGTATGCAGATGGTGAAACAGAATTTCTCCATTTCTGTCTTAACCACCAGTAAGATAATCTTTTACCTGTGACTGAGTTTGCATTTAATATGTCAGTTTATGTCTATACACTAGTGTTGCAATTTTAGGTGATATAGTTATTATCCATGACTGCTGCTTAATATTTCCTGATTGTCCCCTTTCCAGAGGGCTTCCATTTTCTCCAGAATAGCAGACAGCTCAGTATCTCCTCAAAGATCAGTTGAATCAAGCCAAAGCCTCTTACAAATGTTCTGCTAACTGATATCACTAGGAGGGCCCTTGAATTGCTAAATTCTTCCCTTTGTCCCCTGGCTCTCTACCAGATTACTCTCCATCATATGACCATTTAAGAAGCTGCACCCTTGCTTGTACTTTCACATATCAATCATGCAGAAATAGCAGAGAGCAGAGGATTGCCTCCTTTGACAATTCCATTGGTAATGCCCTCACCAATCCAAACCTCCTAATTGGTTGTATCTTTCAGCTTTGGTGCCTGCTAGCAGTTTTGATTCTGAGATAGAAGGGGACTGGTTTGGGGAAGGGGGAGGTATCATCACACTGACTAACCCACTTGGAATGGAAGGGATGAATTCTGGAATAGACAAGTGCCTGACAAGAGGGTAGAAGAGTGTGTGTGGGGGGCGGAGGGATTCTTCCCAGAAGAAGAAATGGACATTCCCTTCTCTCCAGAGATCTCAGGCCAATAGGAGAGACAGCTTGAGAGAGTAGAAAGAGGGGAAGGGAGAAAATCCCACCCAGAGTCAAGTGGCATAGAAATTTTATAAATTATTATTATTGTAATCCTTTCCACTCCAGCTAAAGAAGGAGCAATGGAAATTCTTCCTTTCAGAGATCCTCAGCCAGAAACAGGGATGGACTGAGAGGGCTAAAGGGGTAGGAGAGGCTTTATCAGCTCCAGTTGATAAAATAATGGAAATGGAAAGAGTGGCATAGTAACTTCCAATCTCCTTTGTCCAGAGAAGGAGAAGAAGGGAGATTTTCCTGGAAACTTCAGATCCATAAGGGAAAGGGGATTGAAGATGGAGAGGTAGGAAATATAACTGTTGAAGCAGCTGAGGCGGGACATCCATGTTTCTCATGCCAGAGAAAGCCAAATGACAGAAACTTTCTAGGCTGAGAAACGAGTAGTTCAATCCCATTGACTTAAACAAGCAGGAGGAAGATGCCCAGCATTTAAATCTGGCTATTAACATATATTATATGGGAGGATTCTGGGATGCTGTTACACAAAGAACTTCTGGGTGTGCATGGCTTCCCAGTTTTCAACACACTCACTGAATGAACCTTCTGTATCAGAATCCTCCAAAACCCTGACGGTTTGGATGAGCATCTAAGTTAGGCCCATGGCTCTTGGTTTCTGGCAACTGTAGGATGCTCAGGCAGAAATCTGTTTTCAAATGTACTTTTGCCTGTGTAAGCTGAATGGACAATTTTGAATATGTGCTGATGTCTCTGAATTCAAACAAGTAGTTTCCTAAGGATAAATAGATACTATGAAGGCTCAGGAGAAGGCACATCTCTGTTGAGGACTATGGGAATACAAGGCATTTGGAAGGTACCAATTTGCTGCCATCTGATCCTTATTGTATATATATTTACAGAGATTGCTGGACTAATACTGTAAGAACGATTTATGTGTTTTCTCTCTGTTCCAAATGTAATTTCTATTGCTTCTATCAAATAGGTCTATCAAACAGTAAAAAAATCTCAGTTAATAAGCTGGATAAGTCAGAAGTTAATTATTTGAGCAGAAAGTTGATGAAATAGCATGCTGACAAGATTGCAGCTCAAGTTTAAACATGAATGCAGATAAATGAAATTTGAAAGTGAGGGCTGAAAAGCAAGAATGTGCATGTAATTACTACAGCTATAATGTGTCAAAATTTGATGAAAAACTTTGATGCAAATTAGGGAATAAGTCATGCAGACTAGAAGAAAATATGTTAGATAGGATCTTAGTATAAAGCTCGCCCTTTAACTACACTTTTCACAATTTGTTGAGTAATTACTATTTATCCCATGTGGTCAGTTGATATGCTCAACTTGATTTGATACTTTATTACTACTTTATACAGTAACATGTTGTGCTTTAATAGGAGAGGTGTGCAAACTTTGAATAGCATTGGTAGTCAAATGGATATTGATATTGCTAATCAAAAGATTAATACTTCATTACAAAGTATTTGTAGCCACCATAACTTTAGCCCTTTTCTCAGACATGGTGCCTTTATCTTGAACATGTATTACAGCTGTGAGCTTTAGCATGTTGGCAAGTTTTCCAACTCAGCTCCAAACTCCAGACTCAAGTAGAAGGCTGGACTCTGGCATGCTGTATTTCTAATATATAATTAGAATACAGGACAATACACAGAACGTTGGCATTATCCTAGTTTTGGATCTGGGGAAATGGCTAGAAAATATCCTCCCATTGAACTGTTGATTTTTATGGTGAATGGCTACAAGTAAAGGCTGATTGCCTAAAACAGCTTCCATGTGACTTGTGTTTTAAGACTCCTTATCAAGCTTCCACTTACTTTGTTAAATTATCTATACAAAAGAGCACCATAAAGATTTGATTCCAATGGTAATACCCCCACGGCACTGGGTGTGTTAAGCTAAGAAGAGATGGAAGGAACGGGAAACAAAAAAAAAAAATTGATCTAAGAGGCAATAATAGTTTCTCTGACCCTTTAAAGATGGGATGAAACAGTGGTTCCAAATCATATGAAAACCTTTTGACAGATAGTCTCAGGATGGCTTGCCTGGATGACAAGAAGAGTAAAAACATGCTTTCAAAATAATGATAAAATCTAGAAGCTTAAAAATATTGTTTGATGAACGACGACTGAATGTCTGAACCAACTCCAATGAAAAATTATAGCATTTGGGATGCAATGAAATTGTTTGAAAGTTCTGTCTATTGTATTAACATCTGCAATAACCCTCTTAACATGTGTCCCATTACTTGATGTCGCAGCCACCCAACAGGGCATATACAGGAGTTAACCAGCAAGATCTCTGTTCTGCAAGAAGAAAAGTTCACAATAAGCATCCAGAAATGCATTGTTTGGTTTCTTCCTTGAAAGTTTTCAGTAAAAAGACTGGGCAAAATATTGGTGTAGTGTAATGGAACAGAAGGTCCAGATAATTCACTCATTTCCTTTCAGTCAGGATGAAAACTGGATCCACACATTATACTAAACCATGGTTCTGGTTGGTGTGTTGGGTAAATCCAGCAATTTGGTTTCTAAACCATAAGTTAGCATGTTGTGTGAACCCAGCCAGCGGAGGCTTATTCAGTTCAGCCTAGTTCAGTGTGGTCCAAACTTGGCCACTTTAAGATGAGTGGACTTCAACTCTCATGCCTGCTG